ATGTATATATATATAAAAAGAATGCTTTCTCAAATGTTTATTACACGATGAAAGAAGACTAATTGAAAAAAATTCACATCCTGAACTTGATCAAAGGGGACTGATTGCTCTTCAGGCCTATTAGCTAAAAGCAAGATTGAAAGACCAGTTTTGAAAAACTACATAAAACTGTATCACATTGTTTTGTCAGTTCATAACTGGTTTGATTCAAACTTGACTAGAAGACCATAAAAGTTGCTTTAGCATTAGACCAGCGATCTAATTCAGGTAGCACTAACACTGTGTTATGGGTACAGGGTTTCTCCCATGACTAAAATGGAAATACTTTGTGAAATTGGTATATTTTCTTCCACACCACGCTCATTCCCACCCCAAAGCCCCAACCTCCACCTACTTCACCAACGTTGTTAGATACAAGACCTAAAGAAGATAAAAAAACAAGACAATTTTTGCTTTGCCCATTTCTGTCTTTACATTTCAGTCTCTACCAGCTGACCACCAGTACATTCCACCTCACTGTGAGCAAGGCCTTCCTGTGTAATTTCCAGACTGGAAAGAAGCGATATGTTATGGCTGAAAGGGTTTTCTAAATCACCAGTGCCTTCATATTTAGGATTTCCCTGCTTTGGTTAAGATGTATTATGATGCTCCTGTCAAATCTCAATCTTACTGCACAAAATACACAGTGCAAGGGGGTGCTAGATTTATGGTAAGATTTTATCTTTTTTTAAGACAGTGCAAGGTCTAGAGACAGTGTGAGAATCTCAAGATTAGGGTGTTGCAGGGTGCTCTGCCAATCTTAGCTTACATTTCATTGTATAAACATTTTCCTAGCTCTGTTTGGTATCCAGCAAACAATCCTATGAGAAATTTTCCAAACGTTTGTGTGTTCTTGTCTCTGAGTACTGTCCATTCCAAAACTTTTCAAAATATAAATTAGTAGCTATACATCTGTTGTTGTTGCTCTGTTTGAACCTGCTGCTGTCCTGACTGCTGTGGCGTTGGCTGTGCCTGGGGCTGCAAGACATCAGTCTGAGGCACTGACCTCCACGTCAGAGGATGCTGTTCCGATATCTGGTTCCCTAGAGGAGCAATGGAGTTCACCAAGGTGGTCAGGTTTATAAAGTGGGCCACAGACTGCGGATTGGCTGCCTCTGGCTGTGGGTGGATCTGAATGTCATTCTGGCGGTTGTGCAGCATGGCAGAACCGCTGACGGTATCAAACGTCACGGTGAGAATTGAGTTGTCCAGCTGTAACTGGCGTTCAGGTGCAGTCAGGTGGCCCACAGCCACTGGCTGAAGGTTTGTGAATTGGGTTCCAGCTGCCGTCGTAATGGGGGTAACGGTGATATTTGTCAGCCCGACAGAACTGGAAGGGGCTGTGACATTTGGGTCGCCAAGGGTCACCACCACCTGAGGAAAACCAGAAAAGTAACCTCAACCTTGGATCTTGCAGCTGGCTACCAAATAGCAACCATCAGGAAAGATCACCTGAGTGGTGATGGGCTCACACGTTGCTACAGGAAGGGGAACACAGAAAGCTTGGAATATCACAACTTCCACATACAGAAATAAGAAGGTAATGGGAGGGAGGCATGTGTAACATTCAAAACAAGCAGCCAAATTAACTTTCACACTTGTATCTGGCAAACAAGGAGATGGTAACAAAAAAGGAAATGAAAACAAACATGAGGAGCTTACGGGTCCAACTCCTGTTTTGTTTTGTTTTTTAAAGTCTCTGTTCGTCTTTGTATTACCACAATTCATCATATTAGCCCAAAATGGTCTGATCACTCATTCGTGTTTTCTATTAGGAAAAAAGAAGGGTTATCCCTCTAAGCAGTGTCTGCTGCCCATCACCCTGCTACTGGAGCTCACCTGCTGGATGCTCTGTACAGCTGAATTAGTCTCATCTCCAACATTCCCTGTGAATTCACCTTCCTTCTCTGTGTATTCACTGAAGGCAGGGTCCTCAGGCACTTGAGCTTCCTCCTCCTCACCTGACTTTTGTTTTCGCTTCTGGCCACGTTTAGGAGCTTTCGTATGCTGTTTCCCTTCTGGTAATTCTCCCTGTTCCAATGCTAATTCCGGCTGGAACAACACATTTCCAAACGAAACATCCAGTTATTTTGCTTAGCGAAGCTTCAAGTAAGAGACTATCACCTCAAGTTGGTTTACTGTCGATTCTCAAGGGAAGAGGCAAACTTTAGCAAAAACCTGATTTCACCCTGTAATTACCTCTGTTTTAGCAGCGCCCATGTTATAGAACAACAGCTTGCATCTGCTTATACACGTAAAGCTGGGGCTGGCTCTCTAAAAAAGCACATTCCTTGCTCAGCAGCCTACACCCAGCTATGATACATACCAAAAAAGCGACAAGACCACCTCACCCTCCAGTAGGCCTGGAACCTAGTTGCCACCAGAATTCTGCAATGGCAAATTTACCTGAACAATCCCAATTGAGGAGGCATCAATGGTAGTCGTCTCTGGCAGCTGCTCTAAATCATCAATCCTCACCGAAATAATCTACAGACAGAGAGATACCAGTTGATGAACTGCAGCAGGGCATACCAGTCCAACAATACAGCATTGCCTAATAAATCCTGTCACAAAGCAAAAATGATGTAATCTAACATTTTATACATATAATTTATAACAAGGAATTTAACCATGTCTTTTTAAAAATAACCTTATGGCACATAATCTTTTATTTGTTGCTGAAAACCAGTGTTTAAAGATGACAATAGAAGAATGTCTTTATTTTTGTATTCTAGATAGAAAACAACCCACAGGGAAGTGATGAATTCTGCAGTAAACAAACAATGTATTTGAAAAAAAAAAGTTAGCATTTCTGTTTATAAAACTATTCCATTATTTTCAGCTAAATCTACACATCTCAGCTTATCAAAGAACAGAGATACATTGCCCTCTGGACTGCAGAACACAACTGCATTTTTAATCCAAAAATCAATACACAAAACTTTTTGTTGATTTTCTTCCCAGTCACAATGATAAAAAATAGAGATAGTTCAAGGCAAAGCAATAACTAATGATAAACTGGTAGTAAAAAAAAAGCCTCAGAGGGAATGGACAAGCCTTAGTCAACCTAAAGAAATGCTGAGGAGAAACACAATAGCTATTCAAAAATTTAGAACACAGAAAAAGCCCCACTGGCGTCAGACAAAACATTCCTCTAATCCAGATTCTCTGCAGTCAGCGTTCATCTTTAATACTAAGAATAATTTTGTAACATCAGCAGATGCTGCCATCACCTCTGTGTTCACCACTTCTTCAGATTACTTCTGAATACAGAGAACACAATGGGGAAAAAGAATTGATTATACTCGCTAATGGATGAAGACAAAACATGAAAAAAATACACATTTAAGCTGAGGCTGAAAAAGAAAAGAGATTTAAATAGTTAGAACGACTTCATTTTTAGGAACCAACAACCAGATGTGTTTACTACTGAAACAACACAATGAAAGGGCTGATTCAGTTAAGTGCATGCTTAACAGACACTACCTAACACTGCACCCAAAAGAACAGAAAAAGAGAGAGAAAAAAAGTAATTCTTTTCAAGTCACCAAAGGCCATAAACTTCCTTTACAAAAATAACTCCCACCTGTATCTGCCAAACTAACTCACCTCTGGATGTTTACGCCTCATATGTCGACTCATAGATGCTCTGGTAGAAACCTTTGTCCCACACAGCTGACAGCTCTGGGCTTCCACCTTATCATGTGTGAGCTGGATGTGCTTCTGTAGCATGTAATCAGTGACATATTTCTTATCACAGACTGAACAAGTCCACTGTTTTCCTACTGGTGGCAGATGGAAGGAAACGCTGTTAGTAACGGTCCCTGAAGAGAAGTATCGTATTGTAAGCATCTCAACGTAAGCACCAATTTTATGTAGGTAACACGATGTGTTAACCTAGTTCCAAGACTGGCAAGTCTAACACAAGTCTAAGAACAAAACTAAGCTATTGTCTTTGGATACTGTTTTTCAGATAATTTACCTGTATGAATCAACTTATGAGTCTCCATTGTATTTCGCTCACTAAATGTCTTGCCACAGAGCTCGCACATGAAATCTTTGATTCCTGCGTGAAAAGCACATTTAGCATCAGAGTGAAAATAGTCTAAGGTATCTGGGACAATTCTGAGTCTCTTATTAAAAAAAAAATAATTAAAAAAATCACAACCAAACAGAAGAAGCCCAGCTTCACTAGCTATTTTTATCTAAGCCATGCCACTATATCTGGCAGAAAAGGAACCCAAGAGGAATTGATGTGGGAGGTAAAATTTTGTTTTGGGAAATGAGAACCTGAAGACTAACTCACAAGAAAACCAACGCTCCAGACCTACCCTAGACCAAACCCACCTCTCTCATAAAAGCAAAACATGAAACCAACCAAACTATGTATCTTAATTGTGTAACAGGTGGTCTTGGCTGATGAGAGGACAAAATCTCACTTTTCAAAAAGCAGAGTATGGGTATTTTAAAATTAGTTTTCCTCATACCCTCTGACTATTCTAGATAAGAGTTCTGTAAGGAAGCTTTCAACTGATTCAGTGCAGTTTTTGTACATTTCAAGAGGCCTCACCTGTGTGTCTTTTGTAATGCTTCAGCATGTTGACTTTCTGTGCAAATTTTCGGTGACATTCCTTGCATTCATATTCTTTAATACCTTTGTGAAGTTTCATGTGGTGACGAAGTGCATGTTTTGTCTTCATTCCTGTGAGAAAAAAAGGTACAGCATGACAATTAGTCCACTGCTCCCAACTTCAGAGGAGAACGCAGGATGATGATCTTGTTAGCCAAGAGCCCTTAAGATTTTATCTGCCATGTGTCCACAGTTGCCTATTTTTAATTTTAATTAAAATTTTAATTGTTTAATTTGTTAGGTAGCAGTGCACATTATCATTATGATTTTAATTCCAAGCAAAAGCTCTGGAAAACATCTGAGTAACCAGTGAGGAAGCAGCAAAACAGCAGGGACAAGCAAAGACATCATTAGAGATGTCAGACTTACTGCCTTCCACTAAAATACCAGGTCAGATTTGCTCAAGTTATAATGCAAACAATTCAAAAAGTCAAAGCAACTTTGACTCTTAAGGCTCTTAGAGAGAGAAATTACTCTACTTCTTAAGCCTGAAAACAGCCTAGGATGAAAAAATTAACTTGGATTCACTTTTATGCTGCAAATGCATTGGAAATCAGTTGGGCAAGCACTCCTCAATCTGAAAAATGCATTTTTAAAAAAAAAAATCAGTTTTGTTTTACAGGCCACAAAACTAGATTGTATAAAATTAGAGGTAGTTTATGTATCCATGAGGCTCCTGATGAATACAGTGTCTGCCTCTCAAAAAGGCAGGATTACAGTACTCCAAGGACCTTCCCAATATTCTAAGAATGGAAATTGTTTTCATTCAGATATTCACCTGCTAGTCAGTATCACAATTAACGGAAAACAAGGCATCAGACATACCTTTGCCACATTCTGCACACAAGTATTCTCGGATATTATCATGGACTCGCATATGTTCTTTTAACATGTCTTTTCTAGCAAATGATTTGCCACATTGCTCACAAGCATGACTTTTTACACCTTAAAAATAAATTTAAAAGACAACATAAACAAAAAAAATGTTAATGAAAAATGTGCATCTCCTAAAAACTGACTGTAACTGGTGAATTAGAGGGCAACGGTCCACCTGTGCTGTCAACCACATCTTTCATGCATATTGTAGCCAAAGCAAAACTAGAAGACTTTGGAGAAAGAGAAAAGCTGGCTTTTTGGCTGAGATCTGAAAAAGATAAAGTCTGAGGTAGGAAAATACTGAATAGCATGAAATAATAATGAGCTGTTAAAAATGATTTTGCAGTAGCAGTTTTCAGCCTGTGTAATGGTGAGAAGGTGACATGGATAAGAATTTGGGGTACAAGAGAATACAGAACTAAGATTTTTAGCAGGTAAATCCTGCATCCTATTAACTAGGAACCTGTATTATGTGCCTAGACCAAGTATCTTCATTAGTTCTATCTGCTTTAGAAAACTGGTCTACCTTAAAAGCATAAATATAACATTTAACTTATTGTTACTTACAGTAAAAACCCATAACTTATTTCGTCCTGAAAAAAATAAGGCAGGCACTGGCAACAGAAATCTCTTTAAAATATTTATAATGATAAAAAACCACAACATTTTTACCTGTATGTATAAGCTTATGTCTTTCCAGATTTCCTATGCTGTTAAAAATCCTTCCACAGATTTCACATGGATGAATGTATCTGAAACCAAAGAGACCCAAAACTGTCATTCTTTTCTTGAGACAGAAGCGGTTTTCAGGCATCTCTGTCAGTAACTGTATTTCATTTGGTAATACTAATTACCATAACAGTTCCTTGAAACATAAACACATTTTTAATATGAGCCTTAAGAAACCCCTAAGTTCACTGCAAGCTTAAAGCAGCGTGGCATTGCTTAAATCATAGTTTTTAGAAAATGTTTACCAAAATCATAACTCTATACTTTACAAAGCCCAAACTGAGAAGCTGTTGACTAATAACCTGTGTGAAACGAATAATTAGTGAAATACATTTCAAGCTTTTAATGAACATTCTAGCATTCATTATATGGTTTCAGATATTCTAGTACAGTCCAATTCTCTAAAAGCATTGGGTGGCAGAACCACTGTAGCTTCAAAAAGATTGCTCTGCTTCTCTATCCAACATGTCATCTTACTTCTGCACGTTAGGATCAGGCAGGTTCTCCCGATGAATGACCATGTGTGCATGGTAAGTTGCCTTCAAGGCAAAACGTCGATTACAAATGCTACAGCCATAGCCTTTCTCCTTGTGCACGTCCATTATGTGCTTCAGGTACTCCTTTCCTCTGCCAAAAGTCAACTGTGAAAGGAACCAATAGTGAATGAAAGGGGGAAAAAAAAAGTCTTTGGGAACAACAATGATCTAGCAATACATTACCAGAATCTAGAGTCAGAGCTAGAAGATACAAATATCCTGTGTATCACTAGCTGAAAAATCTGTGAAAGCTAAATTTAGGCCTGAACCTCTTTGGCCACTACAAGCACATTGCTACGGGACATCAGTTAACTCATTTGGAAAACCAACTTCAGATGGTTTCTCTGCTTCTTACACTGCACAAGTAGAGGACCTCCAATTATTTGTGCTCTGAGGAAGAGTCTTAAAGAGAGCATCAAAGCAAGGATGCCACAGATGGAGAAAACGTCTTTTGGCTTTTAGGGGCATGGTAAGCTCTAGTTTGCATAGTAAGCTTTGGCACTAGCTCCTGCAAAGTTGGTATTTCTAGGCATTGCAGGGCAGTGATTCCAGTGCAGCTCCTAGGTGTGCTACAAGAGTGCTACAGACAGGAGCTCTGCTGCTTAGGTCCCTGGACTAAGTAACCCTGCATACACATATACATGCACTGACATGTCAGGACGAAGTGCCATAATGACATGATCTTTTGCTCCAATTTTGGAACTAGTCCAGGTATTTCTGACAGCACTGTGTGGTTTGGTGAAGGTACAGTTTGGGATGAAAGAAAAAAAAAAAAGAAAGATTCTTAAGGGCTCAGAAGAGATATTTTGCTAAAACTCATTTGTATGTTTTTCTCCCTTAAGAATGAGTGAACAGATATTTTCAGCCAAAAAGAGCCTCCCTTTCTCACCACAGGTAACAGTTATTTTCCACAGCTGTTGCCTTACACAACTGTTTACTTCACAAACACCTGAAAAAGTGCTATAAAAAACCCAGCTTCCAAAAAGAGCTTCCTAATTTGAATGGCACGATTCCCCTCATTTGGAAGCATACAATTTTATATAGTTTATGTACCCATTAAGTGACAGGCACTAAAATTACCACATTGAAACCAATCATGCGATTAATTGCTGTTATACCACAGCTTATGCTTACTGACATAAGCTTAAAATCAGTTTGCACTATAACCAGTTCACAGATAAGAACAGAAAACTGAAGTAGTATTATCTCCATGTCTCTAAAATGAAGATAAGCTAAGCACTTTCACCACATTCTGTGTAGACTGTGAAATAAGCTCTGATGTCCAGCAACAAAGTCAGTGGCTTATCTACCAAAATTCCTTTGTCCCTATGTCAGTTTGGCCAGATTTGCTGTTCTGATTGCTTTTGCATCCCACTTGCCCCAGCACAGCATGCTCACCCAGTAAGGGCACAGAATCCAGACGGGCCTTAAGGACCCCATTCTTCTCCATTACTCCTTTACAAAATGGCAAAAGCCACGCAGTAAGAGGTTTAAAAAGTTGTTTTCTCTCAGTTGACAACTACATATGTTCCAGCAGTACTTCTGATGCCATTCTGTTTGTAGTAGTGTAACAAGCACTGCAGAAGAGAGCAGATCCACGGACTGGTCTTCTCTTTGTGAACCTTTACTGTTATTTAAAATTCTGAATGATATCTAGACATCTCCACTCCCTCCCCCCATCCCAAAACAAGAAAATTTAAGTATTTAAAGCTACCTGGCACCTTTTGCAGCTATACTTGTGAGGCTCAGAATCTGCACTTTCATCAGAGTTGTCATCATTCTCCTCTGATGAGATTCCTATTTTACCAATGAACTCTTCCCTCTGGTGATCATCCATCAGTGCTATGTCCTGTGTAGGGTGGGAAAGAATATTCTGTTTTAATAGAGTAAACTTCTATTTCAAAAGGTATCACCTAGTCAGCTTTAGTTGTCATGTAGACTGCCTTGCATTAACAATTGGTGTAACATTATTGATTTAAAATATCCTCCTTTATTTAATTCAGGTAAACAAAGTTCTTCTGTTCATGACTAAACAAAGAACAAGTGTTTACCCAAACAGATAATACTCAATTTTCTGTGTATAAAAGGAACTTTAATATAAACTGAGACTCAACTGGTACACTGTTACATCCATATAAGCACCTTCATGAGCATCACTGAGTGATAGATATCATTCCTTTCAAGTCAGTTTCTTATGATTCAGTGTTAACCTAGTTATGTCAAAATAACCTGTGTCCAATTCAGCACTATTAATAGGGTTGCTTCTGTGATCTGGAACATTTTGACCAAAGCAGGTGAGGAACTCAAAACACAGGCAGTTATGCTGACATACATGAGAGAATCACAGTCACTGGCACGGAAAGGGCAGGAACAATTTTCCATGTTTGTTTTTTTTTCATGCAAAGAGAGGAGATGACAGGGGAGTGAGGGGCAGTTGAGTGAGTGCACTGCATGGTGTTTAGCTGCTTGCCAGGTTAAACCATGACACGCCTCAGCCCAACCAAAGTACTGCTGCAACAGTAAGTCTGTTTGCAGCCTTCCTGTTAAGTTATTCTCTCTGCTTTAAACTGAGTAACCTCAGTGATTCACCCAAGGCCACAGAGGTGTTTTTTCCATAATGTTCAGAACATAATGTTCTGCAGTGGTAGCTGAAATAACTTCAAATATGATAGCCCGCATACTCTGTAGCAATGCAGCTGTGGAAACACAGGGCCATGGGTAAATTATAGCACACCTCATGTCAGGCTGCTCTGGAAACATCAGGGCACAGGGTATATAATCACTGTTATAGCCGTGCGTTCATACTGGCAACACAACAGTCTATTATTGATTGATACATTTATTAATGTCTGCTAAGTAACATGCTTTTTCTAATAAATCATTAACACAGTACCTTAAAATGGACATGAATATGATCTCTCAACACATCCACCCTGAAAAATTTACGTCCACAGATTTCACAGGTGTATTTCTTGTCTCCGTGTGTTAAAAGGTGTTTGTTCATATTGCTTCTACATGAAAATACCTTAAAGAAAAGAAGAATGGAAAGGTTTTTGAATTACATCCAACAGGGCTACATTTTTTGCAAGTTACCCAACGAATAGTACAGAACATATTTACTGTCCTGTTTTATTCACTCTGGCCAGAAACACATAGGAGCTCCTGCTATGCAGCCAGCAGACTACCTCAGAAACTGCTGGCACAGCGAAATACATGTATACAGTTCCATGGAACAGACTGAAATTGGCTGTTCATCAGAGGTGGACTTCCAAAAAAACTGCAGCAAAATCATAAAAGATAGATTTAGAAATATTTAAATCTTTTGAATCACAAATGTTGCACCTATCTGCAAAAAGACATCCACAGACTGTGTCTTCATTGATATATAACATACGCAAAGCCTCAAAACCAAAGGTCCACACACCAGCTTAAGAGTTGTTTGAGTACATCTTGCACCATCAATCATTAAACATTCATAAAATCACTAATTAAACCCACAATCTTCATACCTGTGGTAACAGCAACTTCAGATCATAAGCATTAAACACCCAAATGCAACAGGACCATGACTACACCATGAATTCACTTTGATTTCTCACAGAAAATGATTCCCAATGCAGAGAGTTGATTCCAGCTGTTTATATTCTGGCAGAGAAGTTTCAAACTAAATAACATAAGCCCTGAGATTTCATAGCTTCATGGCACAGTGGCCATGGTACACTCTATATTGTGCTACATGTCCTGAAAAAAGCCTTCTTTGAACCTCAGTTTTGCTCTTATCTTTGTCCTAACAGCTCCCACCATCCCTGGCCAGAGTGGGCTTGGATACAAAATGGAGAGTAACATCTCGGCTGGGCGACAGGGCTCGCTGGTCATCAACCACGTACCTCTCCGAGTGGCGAGGTAATCTGACTTGGCATGACCTCAGCGCAAGTCGTTTACCTCAACCTTTTGGCAGGCTCTGTGCCTATTCAGGTAGTCTGCTACTGTGGTTTAACACACTTGTTATGCCACGCTAACTTGCTTGGAGGTGCTGGGTTGAGGCGCACTGTACCCCTGGAGTATCCTTGGAGCTACGATGCAGAGCTTCATATGGCATACACTGGCAAAAACGCCTACCTTCCCGCACACGGGGCATCCTGAAGGCTCCTTCTTGTAGCGAACCATGTTTTCCGTGCTGTGCTCAAATTCTTCTCTTTTCACACGCCTCACCCCTTAACAGAACAGTCCCCATCAAAAAAACAAAAGAAAAAAAATAAACCATGGCTTTCCACTCCAATCTGCATGCCCTTTCAGGTGAATACTGTAAAGAAGAGTAAAACACTGGGAAGAGCCTCAGTTCAGGATTTAATTGCTAACAGAAGAATAATTTCTAAATTAAAACGGTGGCTTAAGAATATAAAAGCAGCTACCAAAGTGATGTATTGTGGCCTATTGGTTATTATACCAACCATAAATGTCTGAAAACAGACATTTATTGTCAACATCAGAAAACAGGCAGATCTAGTAGGCCTTGGCACTTTGATCAGACATCTGCCCCAGAAATCCCCCCTCACAGTCCCTAAGAGAGGGAACCATCCAACAACATCTCCACTGCTCAATGAGGATGTCAGACCCTTCTCTGCTACCTTCAGGAGGGAAGAGGGCTGCTGCTGTTCTGTGACATTTAAGCATGAGACATCACAGAATCACAGAATCACAGAATCGCTCGGTTGGAAAAGACCTCCGAGATCATCATGTCCAACCGCTCCTGTCTACCCCCTAAACCATATCCTTAAGTACCTCGTCTACCCGCTCTTTAAATACATCCAGGGATGGTGACTCCACCACCTCCCTGGCCAGCCTGTTCCAGCCTCTGACAACCCTCTCAGTAAAGAACTTCCTCCTTATCTCTAACCTGAACCTCCCTTGGCACAGCTTGGTGCCATTTCCCCTTGTTCTATCCTCCATCACCTGGGAGAAAAGGCCAGCCCCCACCTCTCTACAACCTCCCTTTAGGTAGTTGTAGGTGGTGATGAGGTCTCCCCTCAGCCTTCTCTTCTCCAGGCTAAACAACCCTAGTTCCCTCAGCCGCTCCTCATAAGGCTTGTTCTCCAGACCCCTCACCATCCTTGTGGCTCTTCTCTGAACACGCTCCAGAATCTCAACATCTTTCTTATAGTGAGGGGCCCAGACCTTAACACAGTTCTCGAGGTGTGGCCTCACCAGTGCCATCTTGCCATTGCCATTCAACCCCTTGTCCCCTACCTGTCCCCTGGTTCATGACACAAAGGTGTCACAAGTGTGGCCAGTGACAGTTGGCTACATCCAAAGCACCAAATCAGATAATCCGGCTGCTTTTTTAAAAAATCACCGTTGGTCTTATCATCTAGACTGCTAGAGGCATTTTAGTGCATATTCCAGCAATCTACCACCACCCATATTCTTCCAGAGACTTTGAGTACCTGTAACATCCTCAGATGTTTGAGATTTTGAACAGTACACTCATATAATCTCATCTTCACATATTCTCAAGATTTTTAAAGATAACATCACACAGCATTCCATTTATACTAGAGTAGCCACTTTAAGTCGTACATTGCAAGTTAATTCTCTGCCTTCCAATTTTCAAGTTAACACACTTTTTTTTTTAAAGAAAGAACTGAATTCAAAGAAAGAAAAATATATAATTGAAATTAGCTAGTATAAACTACTGCGTAACAGGCCAAGCAACTTTTACATGACTGTTAGTAGCACTGGATCCAATCACATGAGGCTGACAAAAACAAAAAGGTAGGTGCACCTCCTAGAAAGATTTTCATAAAATTAGACAACTTCCCTCAAGGATCCATTACTACTTTTTTAAATAAATGTCACATTTTGCTGAAACTTGCCCCTCTGGATCAGGTAACTGACAAAAAAAGAAAGACAGCTCCCGCCCAGAAGAATCTAATGTGCAATCATTTCCTTTAACTTCCTACCTCTACTGTCATTTCAAGAGTAATACGTAGGTTCATCTGCAGTATACTTACCTTCCAAGTGTCGTCTTTGGTGGTCTAGCATGACATCCTTCCGGTAGAACATCTTATTGCAGATTTCACATGCAAACTTCTTATCCCCATGCTTTTTCTTGTGTTTTGAAAGATTACTGTTTGTAGAAAAGAATCTGAAACACATCTCACACTGGAATGTCTTGTCATCTGTAAGCAAGAGAAACCAGCAGCTCTTTACAGATGAAAAGAGGTTTTGTATGTTTGCGAGATGGATTTGTTCTTTTGTTAAGATCTGAGTTTTAACACATAATCCATCATTATGGATGCAAAAGCATCTGTTTTTCTTTTACTTGAAAGTTGTCTTCTCATTAAAAAAAACCAGCAAACATCAAACAACCTACTAAGTTTATTTTTGCTGCCTATGAGGTTAAGTATTACTGGAATGCACTGGAGGACATTTTTTCAAAGGCAATAAATATATACGATGCTAACTTGAACATGGAATCTATCACTGTAATTTCCTCACATGGGCTATTTCATTTGCGGTCTAGCATACCTTAAAATTACGTTTGAAGTGGATTCTGTTACAGTTGATCAAGTTTTTAATGTTGGTAAAATCACTACACATACAGCAAGACAGCCTCACATGGTGTCCGAGTCTGCCAGCACTGGCTCCTAACACCAGCCAGTACAGAATATTCCAGAAGAAAGTATAAAACCTCAGAAATATACCATTAAATGACAGTAGGCCTATGGGGAATCTGTTTTGTATTCAGTACTTGAGACTTTCTTGGAAGACGAAAGCATGGTCCTGTAGATAGAATCTGCCAGTGCTGCAGCAATCACAAGGAAATAACAGATTGATGTGTTGAAGAGTAGAGCAAAAATTGCTGCTCATTTTGGCCAGCTCAGAAAATGAGCTGCTGCCCTTGAATAAATGGAATATTGAGGTTACTTGGCATTGCTTTCCATTCTTTGTAAAGCTGAGGTTTTTATACAAGCTGTACTCTCTGAAAGGAAATGAGAAAACCTATTTTGAATGGTGCTGTAAGGGACAATTACCCAGGTGATTCTGGACTGACAGTTATCATGAGTCCATAAAAGTAACCAGGATGTCAGTTTTTAAGTGTAAGATCATTCAGAATAAATAATATGAGTAACCACAAGGGATGGCTATGGAAGAAAAGGACAGGTTCTACTGATATTAAGAAAAAACATCTAGAGAGGCAAGTATAAAGAAAGCATGAGAAAGCAGAAGACAACTGCAATCCCAGAACATTACAAACTACTGATGGTACTGCCTCCCTTTCCAGCTCCTCAATTTCACAGAAATGAGGTACAATATAGTTTCAGGAAAGAAAATTAAACAGAGATGGTGAAAGTGTATCTGTGAACATACAAATGAAATACTTGTGACAATATTAGACAGGTGAGCAGGAGATACTAAAAAGAGCAATACATAAGTGGTGTGTTGCTCTACAGGTTACTGGTTATACTTTTCTATCACAAAAAGAGGGTTTTTTTGAGGGAATCGGGGCACGTTGCCTGTTGTGATGATGACAAAAACGTAAATTCTTATTCCACTTCTGTAGGTTCAGCGTTGAGATGGATTTGTGGGCATCTGCTCATAATGGAGTAGAGACACCAGAGGAAGAGGAATGGTTAGCCATTCTCACCTGTCCTGCAGTTATGGAATTCCAACGCACTCTCTATCCGAAAGGCCTTTTCACACGTGGTGCACTTGTATCTGTACTCACTGTCAACCTGAGGATTGCAAACAGTAAGTGTTTAATCATGAAGAAAGCCAAGTCCCACCTGACAGAGAAATTCTAAATCTCAGCTTCTTCTGTTTCCTGTCTTTTCCAACTTTTCTTCTTTCAACGGGATATTTAAATACACATTTATGCAAAATTCTGATGCTCTATCATCCTGCCATGTTCCTACATCTGAGCTCTATTAAAAAAAAAAAAAAATCAATAAGTAGACAGTCTTCCTGATAAGCCCCAGCCCAGCACAGAGACAGAATTTTTGAGAAGCAAGATGTAATCTGACTCATCCTCCAACTCCAGAACAGATGCCAGCAATCTGAGAGCTTAGGACCTTGACACCAAGCAGCAATGGAAATATGCACTGCTAAGGCCCTACTACAGGTATGTTTAATATTTATATGGCAGCAGCGCTGAAAGGCCCTCACCAAGAGGCATGGCACTGCTGCTGCAAGCACTGTACATTCACATAGGTAAGCACAGCCCTTTATGACACAAAGGAAACAGGACAAGCAAACAAGACTGGAACAATCCTATTTAGTACCATAAACTGAAGTCAGATCTCTCCTCTAGATCATGCAGGTCCTGCTAATGCCAGCTTGTCTTGCTGTAACCGATGCCCGAAAACAACCTTCTATAGGAAATTCAGATACCAAAAAGGACTTGTATGCTCAAAAATGTGTCCACACTTTGCAAATTCATCAACTGTTCTGACAGAAGATGTTACCTCTTCCTGTCAGTCTTGTCTCACTTATTCACACAGATATCCACTGGAACATAATGGACCCAAGCTCCCCAGCTAACACCTGGAAGCTCACTATACATTTTCACCTAACCTCAGAAAGGGCCCGCTAGTCATTTCCACTCACTTCGTTCCTGCTGTGCTTGTATGAAACGTGCTGCTTCAAGCTCTCTTTACGGCTGAAGAGCTTTGCGCATTCCTCACATTTAAATAGTTTGTCACCTGAGGGGAATCAATCAAGATAAAATAGAAAAAAAGAAAGTAGTCAGTGACTGATAATCATCAACTCCAGGCAAGACAGGGGAAACCAAAGCACAAGCAACTGCAAACAAACAGGCTAGTGATGAGAAGTTTTAGTAATTCAGGAGCTCACAATAGTGGATTTTAACCTTTTCCAACAATTTTTACAACAATTTTGTTTGGTTCTCCCACCCTTTTTCAGCGATTATTTTACACAGAATCCTTAGATCCCAGACCCCTGGCACTACAGATCACAAGCTAAAAAGCACTCAGCTGACATTTATGCAGCAATGTTATCCACGTGCCTGTGAAGGTTGGGAGCAGTATATATGTATAGTTTTAAAGGGAAGAATAGTTCCGGAAAAAAAAAATCACATCCTTGCCCCTGTTTAAAATATATAACTAAATTCAAATTTTAAATACTTAATTTTGACTTTCAGCTATTATCTTCTCATGATTTGGTTTGCATAACTAAGTTTTCTAGAGAGAATTTTAAAAGAAGAAAAAAGAAAGAGCTCTCAAAATTTTGTATCCTAACACCTAAAAATAGCCTAGCTCTTTTACTCAAAGGTGGAACCAATGAGAGGCAAAATCAATGTGCAAGTGAGGCAAAAGCAAACCCACCATGAGAACGGATGTGCCTGCTGAGGTTGCTGCTGTTCTGGAAGATCTTACTGCAGATGCTGCATTGGTAGACTCGCTTGTGCTCCCCAAGTTGTTTTATCAGCTTCCGCCGTATACCATGTCTACTGGAGAGAATTAAACTTCTTTTGAGGGACATGGTGTTTTGGTGATGAGCAAACCTACTGGATTAGAGAAAGAAAGGCAGGGACTGAAAGGTATCCCACAGGTTGCAAGAAAGAGTCCCAGCAGCTGGCAAAAGCTGGAGGAGTGTTATGCCCAGCTTCTGGCAGAAGAGGGGAGCCTGGAGCTTCTTCATTGACAAGGCACCCTCCTGGCCACCCTCTGGAAGCAGCAGATGTCAGAGTGCGGCACACTCCAAATTATCTTCACCCAAGAAAAACAAGGAAAAAAAAGCAGCAGCCACCAGACTCAGACTCTGTTTGCAGGCCCCTCAGAGGAACATGAATGATCTGCTCTGCTTATCCTCTGAAAACATTAGCACTTCAGCTCAGAAAACTTGGCAGTTTGCATGCAAAAGGCGTATATGGTAAGAGGGCAGCAGGGTGCCAAGAAGCAGTACTGATCTGTTTTCCAGCACAACCACCTGCTGGAATGTAATTTTGATAGCTCTGTGCCTGCTAAAGATTTCAATATATAGCATTACTAGCTGATTTTGAAACATCAAGTACTTTATTATACAAAAAATAATTCAAAAAGCCAATTTTACTGAGACAAAAAGACAGAAAACAGTCTAAATCAATGAAATGGTATTTCAGAGTCTTCCTGAGGTTCTGTTATACTGAAGATTCCTGCTCCCGCTGCTCTAAATCTGAAGTATCATATGCACAAATTAACATGAAGTCATGCATGAGTTAAGGTGACAAGCAAGACTGAATAATAAAGGTTAGAATGATTTTTTTGAGCAAAAATCTCTTTGCTCCTGTTTTATTACCAACATTAAACAGGAGCAATATTTCACCTTGCAGCTGCAGGAGGCTTTTGGAATCACAGTGAAAAAAACCAGTAACATGACAGAAATTCTCATGGTTTATGCCCCAAAATTCTCACCATTTGTGTGCCATCCTCCAGTGCACAGGCCATTTTTGTGGCACTCAAAGTCAGCTCTTGTAGCAGTAGCAGCATCAATTTTACACTGTATCAGCATCAAATATTATATTTTTAGATAAAAAGAGCATCTGTGAGCCCAGAAGTTAAGCAGAGCTGTTACACGGTACATGATATTAATTAAGCCCAAGAGGAAATTCTGCATCCCAGAGCACTTACTTTGTCACTGAACTGATGCTATTTGTGGTGCTAGGCATCTTTCCTAAAACCAATTCCATAATTCTCTCTTCTGTGGCTGAAGGCAGGGCTGGCTCTTCTGGCGGGACCTCAATTACAACATCAGCTACATGCTCTGCTGCAAACATGTCATAAAAATACAGCGTTAATGTGGACAGATAGAAATAAAACCTCAAATGCAGGAATTTGCTTTTGTAATGAGACTTGGCACTGAATGTATTATTTGTCCACGACCAATAATGGCTTGCATAGGTAAGACTTGTAAGATAGAAAAAAATCTCTTATGGAGGCATAATTTCTCACCTTTCCAACCTATTACTAAGGGCTCAGTTAACTATCATGAAATTTCCTACTAGAACTCCCTTTAAAGGAAGGTAAAGCCCTGAAAAAATCCCCTTTCAAGAACAAACCTTAAGGTAGAGTAAGGAAGGTATCTCCTCTTGAGAGGGAGGATGCTTTCTCTTCTCTTTCTTCTTGCAGAAAACTAGGCAGGTCTCTCATAACCACTATCCTGTGTTTCTCTGGGTCTCTCTATTACTAAAACCATTACAGGAGAATGCAGGCTATCTAAGTCTAGGTGCCACAACATTTAAGGTAGACAAAGACGTCAGAGATAATTAACAAAGTTTGTAAATCATCTGCTTTAGTGATCTAACTAAAAACCTCCAACTTGTTTCTGTGCTACTTTTTAGGCCTTTCTGAGAAGGTATCAATACGGACATGAGAGGGTATGTGCTTAGTACTTAAGTTTTGTTTTACCATCAGAATCTTTCTCTTCAAGAACAATAAGAGGTATTTCCGCTTTTGCTGTTTTGGGCTTTCTTCCCCGCCTGGCTTTCCTCCTTGAGTCTGTACTGGCACTGGCTGCATCACAAACCACTGGCTGATCCTCAGGGGGAGCCTCTGCTGCTTTCTCTGCAACAGCCTCATTTGGGCTGGTTTGGGGGGCACCTTTAACTTCTTCCAGGTGACTCAGCAAGTGCTCTGGGTGGATGAGAAAAAAACAAGAGAGTATGGAGGAAGGAAACTGTCATGAAATACTCAAAGGGATAGAGCCAGCTGAAGCCAGGTCCATGTCACTTAGCAGAGACGCACTTCAAATTATTTCAAAAGCAGTCACAATACCTTACTAAATAAAAGCATACAGTCTATTAAACATTGAAATGATCACTCACTGGGAAGGAACTTTTTAGGAGATTTGTTAGGTATCACTGGAAAACCACTGCGCTCCATGATAATGAGTACTTTTTTCCAATGCTCAAGTTATTTACCAGCCTAAGTCTCCTTTTCAAAAATGATTCATTGAATGGTCAGAGCTCTTAAATATTTTAAGTTCTTTTGAAAACTGCATAAAATAGCAGAAAATGAAATGTAGAAGAAAAAAGTATTTCATTACCTTTACTAAATCTGTGCCATAAATACCAGACAGAGAATATCACTAAGTATAAACTGGCATCACTGACCTCATACACTGCCCATGTAGTTCCCCATCCTTGATATTCCTAACATTCACGTGTCATCTTCTAGATTCAACATCACAGTTGTTTGCCCAAAGACTGACCACCACCATACCCAAAATATCACTGTTTTACCTTCCATACTACCCTTTTTCTTAAAGGAACAAAAATTTTAAAGCCTTTATCTTACTGCATCATGGATGGGGTATGGTTTCACAGTGTCCTGCTCTGGAAGGGGAGAATTGTCGTGATGCTTCTCATTACTCTCTCATGAATTTCTAGCACTTCTTACCTGTCAGCAGCTGAGGCTCCTGGAAAGCAGATGAACACACTTTACATGTCCACTGGCTTGACTCTGCTTCTGCAGCACCACTGTGTTCTGGAGTGTTCACTAAATCACAACAAGAAGAAATACTGAAAAGCTTTAAAAATGGGAAGGTGGTAAGTCCCTATAGCTTTTTTTATCTCGCAGTAACGCCCTGAGTATCACAAATTACGATTTAAGCAGTAAGAGGACTACCACGGGCAGCTGGGACCACTTCAGGATTTTCCAGACATGAACACTTGAAACATCAGAACAGATGAAAAGTCAGAACAGAAACCGAATGATGCCAGGAGAGAATATCAGGGCTCTTGTAAAGTCTTGAGGGTCCCTTTATCACGTTCTAAGGAACTGTGATAATCAAAGGCAAAATACAAAGCAATTTGTAGAATCTTTAAAACCTGGGTTATGAGTCCTCTTCTGGGTCAACTGAGGACAGAAGCAGAAATCTCCTTGCTCTCTGTGAAAAGCACTGCAGAGTAAGTACATTCGGATTAACAGAAGTAAGGGTGAGGATAATGAAAACCCAGGTTTGAGCTATTTCACTAATTAACTGTTCTATGAAACCACAATATTCATGTTTTTATTAACAAATCGGCTCATACCGGATACAGATAAAAGAAGAAATTAAGAGGAAAATGGAACTGGAACAGGAGAAAAAAAAAAAAAGAGAAGAAAACGGTTACTCTGTTCACAGTCCATTGTCTTCAAGTCCTTGGATGATGTGTCTGAATTTGTCAAGAGGATCTGATAAATCTGGACACACAAAGCTGAATGTTCCACAGTCTACAAGACTCTCCCAGAGGAGGAGTGCGACACTGAAATTAGTTTCAGTGAATGGCAGCACAGGAGGTTCAAACTGTACCTCAGTTTCTGCCACAGATTTCCCGTATGATCATTAGCAAGTCAGTTAATCTTTCACTGCCTGAGGACCCCATCTGTAATGGGATGATAAACTTACTTCCTCATTTTCACTCTTGACTCTTAAACCAATATAAAAGATTTGCTGAGGTAGAAGTTTTTCCCCGTTACTAATTATATTTGACATTCTACACTACAGAGGTGTGATCTCATCCCTGCTGTAGTAAATAAATGAAAGATAACTAGACAATTCAGCAACAGAGATTTTTTCTTCACAGACTACATAAAGAATGTCTTGAGAGCTCTGTCCGGTAAGCCAAAACCAGCAAACCTAAACCCCAAGAAGATTCTGCATAACTTAAAAAAAAGTCAGACTGGTAAGCAACACATAAGCTACAGTATCCATTTCATGAAGTTGCAGGTCAGTAAAACTGAAAAAGCACTATCTGCAAAACTGAAATCTGTCTTGGAAAATTGGTCCTGACTCTGCATTTTCCTTGCTCCTGAGCTGCCACAAACAGTAAACCTAGAAACCCTAGTTGTACACCCACTTGCCAGGAAGTCAGGTCCTGTTTAGGTTTCCACTTCTTCAGGCTGCCAGGGTGACTGCAGGGCAACCCAGTTTACTTGGAAGCACCGATCTGTCAGTTGGCAACAGCTTTGTACAATTTAGACCTGAACAGGCTGAGTAAATGGGCTGAGGCCAACTGTATGAGGTTCAACAAGGCCAAGTGCCGGGTCCTGCACTTCAGTCGCAATAACCCCATGCAGTGCTACAGGCTTGGGGACGAGTGGCTGGAAAGCTGCCAGGCAGAAAAGGACCTGGGTGTCCTGGTGGACAGCAGGATGACCATGAGCTAGCAATGTGCCCTTGTGGCCAAGAAAGCCAACGGCATCCTGGGGTGTATCAGAAGGGGAAAGTTAGTAGGTTGAGAGAGGTTCTCCTTCCCCTCTACTTTGCCCTGGTGAGACCACATCTGGAGAATACTGTGTTCAGTTCTGGGCCCCTCAGTTCAAGAAGGACAAGGAATTGCTTGAAAGAGTCCAGTACAGAGCCACAAAGATGACTGAGAGAGTGGAGCATCTCCCTTATGAGGAGCGGCTGAGGGAGCTGGGTCCCTTTAGCTTGGAGAAGAGGAGACTGAGGGGTGACCTCATTAATGTTTATAAATTTGTAAAGGGTGAGTGTCAGGAGGAAGGAGCCAGGCCCTTCTCTCTGATGTCAAATGATAGGACAAGGGGCAATGGGAGCAAGCTGGAGCATAGGAGGTTCAATCTGAATATGAGGAAAAACTTTTTTACTGTAAGGGTGACAGAGCACTGGACCAGGCTGCCCAGAGAGGTTGTGGAGTCTCCTTCTCTGGAGACATTCAAAACCTGCCTGGACGTGTTCCTGTGTGACCTAGTCTAGGTGATCTTTCTCTGGCAGGGGGGTCGGACTGGATGATCTTTCGAGGTCCCTTCCAACTCCTAATATTCTGTGTGATTTTGTGTGAAATTGAGGCAAACAGTCAGAATCAAAAGAGGCATATTTTGTTTTGGAAACACCAAAACACTACAGCAGTGGGAACACTTTAGGTTCCCAAAGTATAACAGGCAGCATTTTGTACTGAAATTGGACTTTCAGACAGTAGGATGAAAGATGTAGAAGGTGCTGTTCAAATTCTTCAGTCTCACCACCCGCCCCCAGCCCCCCCCCAAAAAAACCGATGCCACACTGAAAGACAACTCCCCAGTCAACTCCACATTCTAGCTGTGACAGTATCCAAGTTAAATGAATGGATCTTCTGATTAATTGCTTTGTACAGATCTGCAACAACTCTCCTCCTCCTGGCAATTTTGAGTAGGCAAAATTCACCACAGTAACCTTTTCAAAGAACAGACCCAGAACAGTTGTCTTTTGATCCTGATGGCCACATGATGTACTCTGAATTTACTTTCAGACATGGCAATTTGTGTTAAGTGGGCTCTTAATGTCATTGTTCCACTTATCAGAGATCAGGGGAGTAGGGGCATCGCTTCATAACTGACTGTGGGGACTGAGTTCCTATGACGGTATTAGTTATTGCCTGAGTCATATGTTCTTTGCCATCTGTATCTGTATTGCTTGTAAGTTTATATAAATTTGAGTTATTGTAATAAAGTCAAGTCTGAACTCTAATAGGCTTCTGGTTTTACTGTAATTTGGGGATAGCCAGTGTTCTCGTCATTTCTAAACAGCAGTATGCTTACATTCACTCACAGTGTCATGTTTTCTTCTAGATCTTGATCATTTGAACTATTACACTTTACACAGAGAGTCGAAAGATTTTCTTTGGAATTGCCCCCACCCCAACCCTCCAAAGTGAGAAACTCCATCTGCCTAAATGTTTATTGGCCCCTCTGACCCTTTTTAACCTGCATATGTATTTTAAGCACCATGACCATGAAAATAAAAATTCGTACTTTCAAATCCTCTCTAAAATAATATTTGCTGAAAGTTACATAACCATAATATCTGCACAGAAGTGGTACACCTCTTTAGATTTATATCTGTCCTTAATCTCCCTTAAAAATACCGTAATTCTGCATACCTGCTGGATCAGCTGCTGGTATGCTGGATTTCTTCGCTTTTTTATGGGGGAAGACAGCAGATGAAGGTTTTGAAGAGATTTTGTTCCTCTCTTTATCAGATTCCATCACTACCAAGCACATATCTGTGAAGAGTAAAAACAGTTCCTATTCTTTAGTTTTCAGACCCTTTGATTCTCTTGCTCTGTGCTGAGGATAGTAACCACAGTCAGAAAGTTTTGCAGCAGGCCTGCAAAAAACCTTCTCATGTAAAATCCTAACTAGGATAGTCTTATGTCCGAATCTGATACAATGTGTCTTTCATATTCTAAAATGTGCAGTGAAAGTGCTGAACAGAGAAAGCAGGACACACCTAAACAACATTTTAAAATACCCACATGCACACAAAAACACATGAAGAGGTTAAACTAAAGAGGGAAAAGATGAATCCTCTCAGTTAAAACCAAATAGAAACATCTTAGAATTCGGAAACCTGTTAAATGCATTGATTCAGCTGTAGCACTTAACTTTGCTTACCATCAAGATCAACAATAAAGTATGCTGATGGCAATGGCCTCTCTCCAAGCCATTTGCCACCCTAAATTATACTCAGCATAGGGCACTGGAACAAAAGACTTTCGGCAATTCTAATTCAGATTCAAAAAAATCTGCTGCCTTTCTTTGCCAAGGCACAAGCAATCATGTGAAATGGCAGTTCACTCTTGAGTTTATCTTATTCTAGTGGTTCCTATATAAGGCTGCATAAGATAAAAGTAGTATTTTAGAACTGTATAACAGTTCTGAGCAAAACCAGGACATTCTCAATACAAATGAGAAAGTATGGCTCCTTTAGCAAATCTGCAAATACATTTAGACTTACAATGACAACTGGGTTCTTTTGCTCTTCTACACAGAAATGTCTCTGATGCAAACATCAGTTCTTTATTTAAGAACTTTTTATCCAGTTTGTTCACTCTGAAGAGGATGAATCATCAATTAGGCCATCCGTTTCCAAAAACCCTAGACATATCATGGTGAAGAATCTATGCTTTCTTCTTGTAGGGCAACCATGTTAGCCTGACTCTAAAGGCTAACAAATTCAGTGTCAGAGCTATTTGACAAACGGCACTGTCAACCACAACAGTAGGGGACTATCAGTCCCTGTCAGGACTAGGCCCTTAGGAAGGAAAAAAGGCCCACACACACACACATACCATTGGTTATACTAGTGACCTGCTTCAGCACTGGCTTTTCCATTTTTTTGGCGTAAAAAGCTGCATACCACACTCGCAGCTCAGTTCCTGGTGGGATGTCCCTGGAGGTGGTGAAGTAAATATCATTGTCATGCTGGAAGGCAGTTAAGTTTTGATGCTCATATTCAGTGGCTGGTCGCACCATCATCATCCAGTTGCAATCATCTTCATTTGAGGTGTCAAAATATACCAGGGGCCCATCCTTCTGGAACACCTGCCAAACAAAATATGTATATAATAAAACCTGAAAAAAAGAGTATAAAATTAAGAAAAAGTTTTGTTTTCTGCTTTTGCAATGGCTTCCATTCAATGTACACTAGAGACAAAGCAAGCCTCAACACTTGCGTCGGGCATGTTTCAGATATCAATCACATCTTCAGATGAAGAAACCTGAGACAGACTACCAGGGACAGGATGGGGAAAGACCAACTTCTATCCTGAGAATTCTTGCTATAGCCACCAGTTTCTCACAAAATTCAAATGACTGAATACAGGAGAATGGAGGGGAATCCAAACAGCGTGCTTTGAAACATCCATTAGCCTGATCTACGTTTCTAAATCTTTACTTCTGAGTCGGGTATTACTGAAAACATACAACTGAATTAAACTTTTACTGTAGCATTTTTCCTGCTAAAACTTGTCAAGATAAGAATAAAACAAATGCAAGACAGACAAAAAATATTTGTTCTGCATGTTCCATAAACCTCATGCATATGACACTCATTAAGCAAATACAATTAAATTGAAGAGTCTAATTTAAAAAAAAAAAAAGAACTGCCAAAGTCATGGCCCCTCTTGTATCATCACCTGCAGAAGGTGAAAGACAAGCAGTTTTGCTGACTGTATCCTAGCCCTGTCTCCTATAAGGATGTTCACTTCAAACATGCAGAACAAGCCTCCATAGTTTGGTTCTTCTCTATCTGGCCGAGGGAATGCTTGTTTAGCTAGTCCATTATAGGGCATGCCTAAAAGATGTCCCAAATAACCTCCCTACACACATTTTCTATAGTGTTAGATAACATAAATTCATCATGGGTTAAACTGATTCCTTGTTACTGCTTTTCATGTGCCATATCTTACCTTCAGGGGAAAAACGGATTCTTTTTCCAACTTTGAAATTCTCTTGGATTCAAACGGGCCAAACTGAGTACGTTTCACTAGTTGAGTCAGAGCAAAGACTCCTTCAGTCCCATCTTCCAATTGTCTTATCTCCAAATTAGAAGGAAGAGATGATCTAAAAATTGAAGAGAGAATTGGCGGGGGGGGAAGTTACACATGAAACAACACTGCAGGTACCCATGGAAATAAGAAGCCAGCATCTATTTCTCCGGTCTCCAGCAACAGAAAACTTTTCTGATCAAAACACCCTAACTTCTATGAGGATTTATAAATAAGCAGGGGAGAACAACTACCAACAGTGGAGGAGGGCCAAGTCAGTGATTACTTGAGAAAGCTGAATCCATTTAAGTTCAGGGACCTGTCAGGCTGCATTATAGTAAGACCACTCTCTATCATCTTGGCAAGATCATGGGCATCAGGGGAGGTTCCTGGTGACAGCGGAAAGACCAACGTTGCACCCATCTTCAAAAAAGGCCAAAAGGATGATACAAGGAACTACAGGCTGATTTGTCTCCCTTCAATCTCTGGGAAAATCACAGAACAAGACCTTCTGGGAGCATTTATATGAGGAGGAAATTGGAAACAGTCACCATGGATTAATTAAGGGCAACTCATGCCTGACAAATATTTTGTCTTCCAGGATAAAATGACCAGGTTTGTGGATGAGGGAAGAGCAGTGGATGTCATGTCTCTTGACTTTAGTAAGGCTTTCAACACTATCTCTGTATCCAAGTTGGGATGTTATGGTCTGTACTAGGACCTTTACTGTTTAACATCTTGATCAACAATCTAGAAGGGGCAAGGGAGTGCACTCTCATCCAGTTTGCAGATCACACTAACTGGGGGGCACAGTCCATACATCTAAGGAGGCAGGATTGCTATCCAGAGGGACTTGGATAGCCTGCACAGATACACCAACAGGAACCACATGAGATTCCAAGGACAAATGCAAAGTCCTGCACCTGGGCAGGAAGAACCCCAGCCAGTACCATCACCAGGGCAAAAGACCCTGGAGGGCTATAGCATGTCCCAGGAGCAAAGTGGGCCAAACACGTCCTGGACTGTATGAAGAGGAGAAGCCAACAGATTGAAGTGACTGTCCCTCTCTGCCCTGCACTTGCTAGATTATATCTATTTACTGCCTCCTATTTTGGGCTCCCAATATGGGAAACACATCAACAAACTGGAGTGAGCTCAGGTGAGGATCACCAGGATGGTCAAAGGCTAGAGCAGTCAGTCTGTGAGGAGAAGCTGGGGAAGCAGGGCTTGATCAGCCTGGGAAAGAGATGGCTGTGGGGGTCCAAACAGCTGCCTGTGCACACCTACGGGGCTGTCATTGAGACAAAGGAGTCAGGCTCTTCCCAGGGGCTCTTTGCAAGAGCAGGAGAGACAATATGCATAAAAGGGAAAAATGGCAGTTCAGCCTGGTTAGTTCTGACAGGAATCTCCTGAGATCTCTTCCAAAATGAATTATCCTATGGCTACAGATCTTTGGTTCTGATCATGCTTATATAAAAAAAATAACATATATCCCTCCCCAAATTAACACCTTAAAATTAATGCAGATTATAGCCCTTAAGATGAAAGCCCTGGAAGTTTCCCTTTTGTCCTCCAGCTCACTTATTAAGAACATTGATAAACTGACCACAAGAGCTTCTGTGCTCCTTATCTCTCTCATTTACCAAACAAGCTTCTGAGAAGAATGATATCTAGTAAATACTACATATAATACACATATCTTACTATGTGTAGTAACACATAGTAATATATCTTACCATATATAATACACAGAGGACATCTTCAAAAAAAATCATGACTGGAACCACCATATTGGTTTTACAGACAACAAACGCAATCCTGTCTTTTCTGCTTGGTGCTAACAGGTGAAAAGCTAAAAATAACTAGACAAGGCTACTGACTGCTCTACAGAGGCTGACACTGGCAGATTTGCTTTCCTATCAAGACAAACACAAAAAGGTTACAATCATCATGATAAGCAAATGAATATAAAAAATGCTTTCAGTTTTAATAACTGAACATGCAATGTCAGAGACAGTGAAGTTCAGGAAACATTTCTTAACACTTCTTTTCTAACTGTAAAGAATTCATTTCATCTTTTCAGTAGGACAGAGGAAACAACAATCATGTGGTTAAGCAGCTAGACTGGTTTTTAAGAGATTCATATCCAGTTTGTGGTTAAACTTGCCCTCAACCTTAGACAATTCACTCTCTCAGCTACTGTTCACCAGATGCAAAATAAAGGCTGCAACTGTATTTCCTCTTTCTCTTTCTTATCTTGCCTGTTTTCCTTTGCAAAGTCTTCAGGAAAATAAATACATTTTTCTCTAATATGGGCATTTTAAAACTCTGCTTTCAAATACACTATCCAGCAGCCAATACTTCCACCAGGGAACACTTTGCATCTGCATGTCAAAAGAGTAAAAACCAGTGCATGCACCATATTTGCAAGTGTTCACAGTTGGAACCTCTGGATACTATGGTAATTCTCCACCATACAAATAAATAAGAGCATTAAATTGCAAGGCAAAAATAAATAAATAAATAAAGATAAAAGGTAAGAAAGAATTGTTTACCTTGACATTGAACCTGCTTAGTATGAGCTACACACTTATTGCACTGCTCGGTTTACATGTATAAGAAAAGCATCTCCACCAATAAATTCTATTATTCCTATAGGCATTTTGAAATTACCCTCAAGAACACAGTATCAGGACTGTTAGGACAACACTCCCCATTAACACTGCTGCAGGAGTTCATCCACGGCAGGTTTCCAGACCCAGGAAGGCAGCACCTGGCAGCAGCTGCAGGAAGCTTCCCTTTTTGGGAAGGACCAGAAGAATGCCTATGGCTCGTGCACACATGCAGCCAACCTATACTGTTGGACACAAAGAGCATCCTGCCCAGGCAGAGGGATTATGGCACCTGCGTAGCAGACCCAACACATTCAGCATGTGTTAAAAAACGATCCTGGGAATACACAGGATGGTCTAAATAGCCACCATGTGTCAGACTCGCTGTCCACGTGCCCGTGTTTTCTGTCTGTCACTTCCCAAGAAGAAATATGAAAGCCCTATATAATCTATGATTCTATAATACATGAAGCCATTTCAGCTTTTTTTCCCATTTTGGATTTGTACTGGATCTTCATGACAGTTGTTTCTTTTCCTTAGCCTTACATTTTATACCTTAATATGAATTTTGCTGACAATGCCTGATTGCCTTTCTCTGTAAAAATCACTACTCAGTGTTGCTTTCTCCTAACTAGATGTAGTCTATTTGTTTCTCCTGGCAAGCACGAACGTTTTTCCTGTGCTGTCACAGGTTTTCTGACAGAAGCATTATCCCTAATCATTCATAAAGATTCACAGTAACGAGAACAACTTGGTTGCTTCTCGGTGGAGGAACTACAGAGGTTATACAAAGCAGGAGGACAAAATCATTCACGTGCCTGAGAAATCCTCATGCACTCCTCTGAAACTATGGTACACCTGAGGAGGGAAGCAAAGTTGCAGGTACTTGACCAAGACAGAAGTCATTACTCCATCTGGCACTATCTGACATTTTGCCAGAAGCCTCAGCAAAGAAGCCAAGTCCTGATGAGCAGCAAGTTATTTTTTGGCTTCAATTCAGCAGAGCACTTAAGTGTGTGTATCAATTTTTCTATTTAATCAAGGCCATGTGCTTTCCATAGATTGGGACTTTACTTTTCAGCTGTCAGCGTGACACCCATTAAACAGCAAATATGCTTTAGAGAACTAGCATGCATGTTGCATTGGTCAGAACTAACACAGAACGTTTCTTACCTTGCCCTGCTCAATACAAAGGAGTCTTTGACCGTCACCACTGGGCCCAGTTCAGGACACTCTGAATCATGGTACTGCCCACAGTCCTCGCACCCTGCAAGGAAGCAGACAGCACACAGAAAGGTTGAAAGTAAACACTTCTGTAAGACAGTTGCCTCCTACTTTCAAGAGTCAAACGCAAAATCTAGCACCAGGAAATATAGATATATATTT